CAAAATGATGGCAGAGTGTCCAACTGATGGTCCTGCTTGATGCATTTTGGGGATGTGTCCCTTTCCTCAGAGCTGAAGCCGACCTGAATTAGTGCCCTATACTATGTATTATACTATGTGTGTAACCAGTGTCACATAATAGCAAGGCCCCTCTCGCCTCAAACACAAAGGGGAGGGGATCATTTAGATTGAGTTAAGAAAGTATATATAAAAAAGTGGTGATTCATGAATATGCAAATATAAAAGTACAATGATCCAATAATATTATAATACTCTAATGACAACATATATTCATTTGTACCTGGCTTTATAAAAACCAACAAACAATTAAATATAAGTGTATGTAGATGAATGTACATCTGATGATCAGTATAATCTGTGCAAAAGCAAGAGAAATACCTTTATAATGGCTGAACCTGCACCATGCATAGGTATGGCATGGTGTATCTATAGCTGGATGGATCTGTATACAAGAAAATTTTTTTAGAGATGTTAGTGTGCTTCATAGGCCGGACGTGACTCACCGGAAATGCGTCATCATGACATCATATCCAGTGTGGGTCAGGTAAAGACCTCTGGAGCGCACCGAGATGGTCGTGCACTCCATAGGCCTGAAGTGACTCACCGGAATTACATCACCACAACACCATATCCAGTATAGTCAGGTGGCGACAGTTTGGAGCACAACAATGTATAGGGAAGTGCTGGATTGATGAGCGGCACCAAGCAACTGGCCAATGATGAAAGCAATGTGACAACTAGAACTGAAACTGAAAATGAATTTGGAAAAAAAAATGAATGAAATGTATAGAATAAGAATTTGAGAAAAAATTATTACGGAAAAAGATGATGGAAAGGAAAAAAAATTAATACAGTTATGTGTAAAATGAAATATGCAAATAACGTTAAAAAAATGTAAAAATAAATAAATATAAATATATACTGTATATATATATATAATGACAATAAAAATGGAACAAACCAAAGGCCAGGTGAATACATGACAATGTCTAAATGAATGGATATGAATAAAAATCTAAGTACATACATGAGTAATAAGGGCTTAATATTAATAATGCAGCCTGATGCCACACCTGTGAAGTGGTGTTTTGAAATCACAATGGGCAACCCATGAATACACAAAATGTGATATCACAATATACAATGAATGCACGTTAATATCTGATTTTTTTTAATATATAAAAAAGAAAAATTTACAATATCCATTCATCTATTTTTTATCCCCACTGGGCTAAGGGTCACTAAATGCCTTCATTTTATGAAGTTGCCTATTCGTAACTTAGCAAGTTGTGCAGCACCACCAGGCAGGGATCATACATTGCAGATATCTCAATTAGAAAAAGAAACACTAGAGGGTCTAAAGAATAATCAACAGATTGTGATCAAACAAGCAGATAAGGGAGGGGGGCTGGTTATATAGAGTGGACAGGACTATCTCACAGAAGCCATGAGACAAATTAGGATATTGTGACAACCTATGAGAAACTCTTGGGGAATGCAATCGGGCCTTACAAATTCACTCTTAAGGCCCTGTTAGACCAGGCTCTGAGGGATGGGGTGTTGAATAAACAAGAATGGCAATTTTTGTACAGACCATTCCCCTTAACCCCACACTTTTATCATATTCCAAAAAATACATAAGGATCCCATTCATACCCCTGGAAGACCCATTATATCTGGGATTGATAGCCTTACCAACATCGCGGAAAAATTACATTAATCATTTCTTACAACAATATGTATATGTATATCACTCATGCATATGTCCGATACTCGGGTCACATGCTTGATATCTTATCCAATTACTGTTAGCAACTAGGTTATAGGTGGGTTTCACTAGATGTGGCCTCCTTATATAACTCTATAGCTACTAGCGGTTCAACACTTTTCTCACTTTAGATAATACTTTACATCTCTCTCAGGCGAATTTCATCATCCAATGCATTCAATATTCCCTCACTCACAATTATTTTGTGTTTCAAGATACCTTTTTTAGACAAATCAAAGGCACAGCCATGGGGACCAGGTTTACCCCCAGTTATGCTATTATATTTATGGGTTATTGGGAAAAAATTCCAAATTTGGAGCAATAACCTTTTTGGGGCGAACCTGGTGCTTTTTACAAGGTATAACGATGGTATCCTGATTATTTGGGATGGCACAGATAGTGAGTTGGACAAGTTTCCCTCTCATTGCCGGAAAAAATCCTTTTAACATTGAAACATTGTAGTGGATGGCAACAAACTTGTGTTTCTTGATTTAGAGCTCATGTTCAATAATGATTATAACATCATTTCTAAGACACATTTTAAAACTTCAGCAGGTAATTCATTTATTTGCATGTCAACAGCCATTACCATCTGAGACGGATTCAAAAGGTACGCTTTGGGCAATTTTGCCATTTAAAGAGAACTGGCACGTGTCTTGAAGATTATGATGTACAGAGTATCATCCCCAAAAAAAGAAGTTTCAAGAGAAAGGGTATGCAACAGCGGCCAGCGGCCATTGACAAGCATATGAAAAGTATAGGGTCCAGAACCTCACGAGTACTCATTTGGTAGCCATCTCCAAAACTGCTTAATAGGAGGGAGCAGCAATCAAAATACATTGCTTTTTGCACCCGGTACAATCCGAAAAGCTTTTCAAATCAAAATGGTCTTTAAAAAGTATTGGGAGTTATTTATAATCCAAGGCTGGACACAAACACCAAGAGCAAGTCACACACACTGCACAGGTACAATCAAACCAGCACTCACACACATTGATTTTAAGCTTTATAAGGAACACACTACCAAGTGTAAAGCTGCCCTGGCACATTATGCACCATTCACTCAGCACCCCAAGTAAAAAAACAGAATCCAAACTGCAGTGTTTCCTGCACTGTCATAACCTCCACTTTCATTTATCACTGTCAGGAATGGACTAGCCAGCAATTGGTGGGACTCACCTGCCTTTTGATCTGCAGTACCAGGGGCTGGCCAGCGGATGCTCCCAGCAATCAGAGACTCAAACTTTGCAGCCAGCTAACACCTGGAACTGATTATGCTGGGGTATTTAAGGGGATGGCCAGACTTGCAGACCTCAGCCTTGGTGTTGTGTTTCTCTTGGGCCCTGTATCCTGTTCCTGCTCTCTGTTCTGATCCCTGGCTTGTCTGACCATCCCTCTGCCTGACCCTCTGTACTACGCTGCTCCTGCTACCTGTTCTGATCCCTGGCTTGTGACCCTGGACCATCCCTCTGCCTGACCCTCTGTACTACGCTGCTAGCTACCTGCTGAACCTGGCCTGTGACCCCGACCAATCTCCGCTTGCTCCCCCCTGTACCTACCTGCCCAAATTGATATTGACCCGGCCTGCCTGACGACGCTTTCTTGTATGTACTGTTATCTGTGGGTGGTTGGTTTGGTTGTTTGCACTTTATTATGTTTAGTATTGCACTGCGTTTATGGTTTTGTATTGTTAGTGTTTAATAAATTATATTGTTTTATCACATATCTGAAGCTCTGCGTTCCCCCCTGCGTCAGTCCACACACCTCTGAGTCACACCTGGGAGCCCTGACCATTACAAACCAAGGCCAATCCTGACCAGAAGTGGCTGCACAGGGAAGCCATTCTTGGCTTGTTGCTGGGAAGGAATGGGATCTGGATGGCGGTTGTGTATTCTATCTCTGCTAGTGTTTGATAATGACAGGGGGAGTATGCCTTATCAGACTCTGAAGGAGTATAACGCGGGATCAACTACTGGGGAATGTATTACGGATCGTCATGTTTCTAGTAGATCAGGGCACAGAGTTCCTGAGGTGCAGCCTTTGATTGAGGTTTGGTTATGAGTTGGTTTCATATCTGGTCTTCCCCCGTATGCTGGGATGACATTTTGGCCACCATTTAGTGCAGACCAGGTTAGAGTCCATGGTGTGGTTCATTATAGCGATGATTGTGGGTTTGACTTTTCTGGGGCGTTATTCCCACATGTTCACCCCAGACTCTATCCCGCTGCCAGATTGTATAAACGCTGTGCAGTCATTGACCAGACAGGCTTTGTATGCGGGTAAGCTCAGCTTTGTTCAATCCCTACGGTGCCAGACATGGTGACAGATTAGTGTTGTCACCCAGCCGGCGGAGTAAGCTTACAGAAGTCCGGAGTCCTCTGATACTAATCTCTCAACGCTCATGTTTTATTCCCACAAGCTTCCTCCAGTTACAGGCTTCAGTATATTTGGCTATCTACGCGATGTCAGAACCTGTTCCCACTCGCTGCCAACCTGGTATACTGCCCGTTTAACCCTGTACAGGAAAAAGTCCCTCTGTAGCAACTCCCCCCCTCCCTCTCCTGTTCCATCCTCCAGGTTTTTCTCTGTCTCCAGCAGTGCTCCATTCGTTTGCAGTTATCAGATTTCGTGCGTTTACTTGGAAAGTGCTTCCAGTAGTTAAAAACCAGAAACAAAGCGTGGGAAAATTCTTTCCAAACCAATACCCTCCTGCCAGTATCACTCAAACCGGGTTGAACCTGCCTTCCGGTGACTCAGCCTGACAGCCTCTCTCTTCTGCAGGATGCCTCTCTTCAGCCTGTTGCCCTTCTTCTGCCTGATGCCTCTCTTCGGCTTGAATGCTTCTCTAATATTCGGCCTGATTGCCTTTCACTCGGGCTGAAAGTGTACTCCTTATCGGCCTGAAGCCTTCACTCGGCCTGATGCCTTCTTACTCGGGCCTGAAGACCTGCTAGACGTCGGCCTGATGCCTACTCGGCCTGATGCCTTACTCGGCCTGAAGCCTTACTCAGGACCTGGAACGCCTCTACTCTGCCTGAAGGGACCCTCCATACTCAGCCTGATTGCCCTCTACTCGGCTTCTGATGCCTGCATTCAGCCTGATAGACGCTACTCAGCATGATGAACTGATCCAGCGCCACGACGATCCTATTAGGGCAGTTGACTCGATGCCCGACTGTTGATTTCCAGATGATCCGGTACTCTGATCCAGTGCCCGCACTGTCGTGCCAATTTGATCTCAGAGCCGCTTGTCATACCTGGTGCCCCGGTGCCCCACTGCCTTGCCCAAGATGACGCGGTGCCCGCTGGCAAGCCAAATGACCTGATGCCTGGTGACCCAAGTGGCCCGCTGTCATTACCTGGTGACCCGATGCCCGGCTGTCGAGCCAGACGATAAAAATTTCAACCGACCCACCCCATGATGACCCGACCAGGGGTTGACCCACTGTCGTGACCTGTGGGTGAAGGTTGGGAGCCCACTGTCTTGCCAGAAGGGGACTCGGGGCCCGCTAGTTTCCGCAGTCGACTCGGTGCCCGCAGTGTCTTGCCAGAAGATACTCGGTGCCCGTGCAGTCTTGCGGAGTACGTCTCGGTGGCCCAGCAGTCTTGCCAGTTGGATCTACGATGCCTGCTGTTCCGTCCAGACGACTCATGGTGCCCGCTGTCCTCTTGCCAGCGAGCTCGGTGGCCCGCAAGTGTCCTAGCCAGTTGACACGATGCCCTCTAGTGTTCCGCCAGTTGATCTCGGTGCATGCTGTCTTGCCAGACGACTCGGTGCCCGCAGTTTGCCTGAGACTCGGGTGGTCCGCCAGGTTTGCCAGGACGAAATCTCCGGTGTCAGCAAGTCTTGACAGACGACTGTTTGTAGCCCGCAAGTATTGCCGGACGACTCGGTGCCCGCAGTCTTGCCGGGACTGGGTGCCGACTGTAAGGGGAGTTGATCGATGCCGCAGTCTTGCCAGACGACACGGTGCGCAGTGTTGCTGGACTCGTGTGCCCGGCAGTCTTGTCAGATGTGTCGAGTTGCCCTCAGTCATTGCCACGGGACTCGATGCCCGCAGTCTTGCCAGTATTTTTTTTCGATAGCTCCGCTGTGCCAGGGGTGAGGTCGATGGGGAGATGTCTTGCCAAGACGGATCGCGGTGCCCGCCCCAAGTCTTGCCAGACGACTCGGTATGCCCGCAAGTCTTGCCAGTTGAGTCGATGCCGCTGGTCCGCCAGACGTCTAGTGATGGGCGGTAGTTTGCCAGTCGACTCGAGAGCGTCGCAGGGCAGCAGTTGGACTCGATGCGTTTGCTGTTCCGGTAGTGGTCTCGATTGCAGGTGGTCCGTAAGTTGAGTACTGGAGGAGGTAATGGTGGGGCTGTTGCCAGAGGGGCGACTCGTATGGACCTCTTGTCTTGTCCAGACCGTGGGCAGCATCGGTGGCCCAGAAGTTGGGGTTGCCAGACGACTCGGTGCCCGTTATGGGGGGCGTGGGGTGTTCGCTGACAGGCATCGGTACGAGCAGGGACTTGGGGAGGACTTGTTGCCCGCCTATTTCGCCAGTTGATTTTTTGCCCGCTCTTTGAAGTGAGGGTTTGGGTGGGGGGCAGTGTGCCAGACGTACTCGGTTTGCACGGCGGGTCTGTTCGCGTGACGTACGACCGGTGGGCCCGCAGTCCTTCTGGAGAGGACTCGGTGTCCGTACGTCTTGCCAGTTGACTCGTTTGGTCCGCTTGATCCGGAGGAGTTGACTCGATGCCCGCAGTTCTTGGGGGGGGACTCGGTAGCTTATGGGGGCGTTCGCCAGAGGCACGTTGAATGGAACGGAGTATTGCAGGGGGGACATCGGTTGCCCGGAGTCTTGGTAGGGGAATCGGTGGTCCGCAGACTGGCACAGGCGACTCAGTGCCGCTGTTAAGCGGGGAGATTTCGGGAGGGAGGGCATAGTTGCTTACAGACGAGGACGGTAGCCCGGAGTCTGCCAGACGACTGGGGGGCCTGGTAGCCGGGAGTCTTGCGGGGAAGAGCTCGGTGGGGGGGGTTCTGGCCAGACGAGTCGGTTGCACGCAGTCTAGCCGGGGTAGTGGGACTCGATGCCCGAGGGTATACGGCGGGTGAAGGGGGTGTCCCGATAGTCTGTGGGAGGGGTACTGGGGGGGTGCAGCAGTGTTGCCAGACGTCTCGGTGCTCCAGTCATACCAGACGACTCGAGTGGCCACAGTCTGCACAGTGACACGGTTGCCCATATATCGTGCCTGAGTGACTCGGTGCACGCCGCTTGTGTGGCTGGGGGCCCCGTAGACCTGTTGCTCCACTGAGGATGGGCGTGAGGAATAATGGATCGCTCATTTGTAAGAGTAGGTTGAGGTGGCCCGTCAGCTATGCCGTGGTGGAGGGTGGATGAGACCTGTTAGCTCCGGTGGGGGGCCCGAGAACCTGTCTGGTCCAGAAGGAAGGGGGATGGCAGGAGGCCCCGCTCCGGTTGGGGGGTGGAGAGGCTGGCGTCCATCTGGAGTGGGCCCGAGGCCCGCCCTCCACCTGGGTGGCACCCGAGGAACTGATCGCTCCAACTGGAGATGCCCGAGGGACCTGATAGCTCCACCTGGGGTTGGACGGGTTGCACGCGTGGTAGGGTTAAGCTGTGCACTAGTGGGCTCGTAAAAGTGTCAATGGCATAAAGATGTTAAGGTGGTACGGCGCACGCAGCCTCAGCCTGAAGGCCCGAATAGGTTGACTCAGCTGCATGCCTTCATGTTCGACGTTTGCCTGGCTTGTAGTGTGTGAGACCTAGTCAGTCCATCTGGGGTGTCAGTTTTGACTTGGATGCCACCCCCCCCCACGGTTACGTGTGGTGGGGACCGGGGACCTGTAGCCCCGCCTGGGGGAGGAGTAGGGATGGGGGTATGGGAGGGGGCCCGGTGCCTTTGGTTTCGTCTTTTGTTCAAGCATTACTTAGTCGCCCCGCCTGGAGGGAGTGAGAGAGTTGCCTGCTCGCCACGCCTGAGGAGGCCGAGTGCCTGTCGCCCCGCCCGTGGGGCCGGTTGCCTGTCGCCCCGCCCGGAGTAAACGGTATGCGTGCTGCCCCGCCCGGGGGATTTCGTAGTGCTGCTGGTCCGCCTGGTAATCCGATGATGCCTGCCTGCCGGAGTCCGGCTGGCGGTGCCTCTGACCGGGATGGGATGAGCGAGGTGCTTTTGCTGACCGGTGTTTTGGGACGGGGTGCTCTGGGGGAAAGTCACAGCGCGGATGTGGGGGTCAGCCCGGAAGTCCTGCCGATGGTGCCTCTGCGGAGTAGGTGGGAACGGGGGGAGTGCGGTTTGGCCCCGGTTCGGTTGGGGGGGGGGGAGATGCGTGGTGGGGCATGGGGGTGGACAGGCGGATGATGATCCTCGCTCGTGACCAGACACGTGGCGGTGTGATGTGGATTAATTTAGCCCATGTCTAGACTGATTAAGAGCGGTGAGGAGGGAAGCTGTTGCATGGGTGCGGTTCGGGGGGGAGTGGACTAGCCAGCAAGGGTGGGGATCACCTGCGGTAAGAAATTGCCAGACCAGGGCTGGCCAGCGATGACTCGGAGCGTGGGGTGGGGGAACTTCGCAGGGCAGGTAACACCTGGAAATGCACCCCCGATTAGGATGGTGGCGGGTAAGGGAGTTGCCAGACTTCGCGAAGGTGGCGGGGTGTTGTGTGGGTCTGGGGGGGGGAAGTCCTGTTGGTGCTCTCTGTTCTGGTCCGGGGCTTGTCGGACAGTGGGTGGGGCTGGGGCTCTGGTTAGTACGCTGCCCTGGGAGAAGGGGGCTGTAGGGGGTGGCGGGGGGGAGTACTTGAGAAGTCCCTCTGGTTGACCCTCTGTTACTACGATGCTGGGGGGGGGGGTGAAAACCTGGCCTTTGTGGAGTTGTGACCGGGGATTCTCCGCTTGCAATAGGCGGACCGGTACCTAGGGTTAGGGGTATGGGTGGATTAGGGGGGCGGCCTGGCCTGACGGACGCATTTGGTTGTTGTACTTGTTTGTGTGTTTACTGGTTGGTTTGGTTGTTTGCACTGTTATTATGGTGGGTATTGCACTGGGTTGTGATGGTGGATTGTTGGCGGTCTAAATTTATTGTTTTTCAACCTCCTGCCCACACCCCCGTTTCCCCCGTCCCCAAAAACCAACCCCCACCAAACCCCACCCACCACACAACAACAGGAGATGGCCTTTGATTCTCATTTGGCCTCCAGGCCCCTCTTAAACATCCTGGTTCAGTGCCGCTGGCCGCACATTTCAAACTAGGAGCGGGACCCGGCACCTCTTAACATGCTCCAAGAATTTATTGCTTGAAAAGACATTGGTAAGTTTCAGTGAGGTAACTAGAGTCACCACCCAGTCACCTACCTGCACAAAAAAGTCTTATATTAATTCTAAACTTAAAACGCATTTCATAAATTGCACAAACAAGTCCACAAAACAGAAGTCTATATACGGCCATAAACAAAGTCTTTAATTTAATTTAAGCAATGTTACATGTTTTGTGGACTTCTCGTAAGTTTCCTTTAGCCTTAAAGGAATGACAGTGACATTGTCACCTTCCCATGTGCCTTCTGGCATATGGGCAGGGAGATGCTTTATTGTAAAAATCCGCCATGGAAAACAAACGGCACTCACGGCCAGCATCATTTTGCTGGTGTTAAATTTGGAAATGAATATATAAAATGCATTGTTGATTGAAAGCCACAAATATAAGAAGTTCGAGTGGCGCACCCGTTATATCACTCAGTAGGATCCAGTACTAGCATTATGTATCTAGCCCTTCATTGAGCACGCTAGATGACAGTTGCTCTCAATGCGATGATTCAAAAAATGGTCTCCCACTCTGACAACAATTTACGAAAACGGTCTCCCAGGGTCAGATATCACTGGGACATACTCTCTAGCCCAAAAACTCTGAGGCTGCTGGAACTTGTGTCTATGGTATCTTGAAAAATGGTTACTTTTAACATATAAAAAAATTCTTTTATACCCCTGTAAAAAAAAAAAAAATCAGTTATTAAACATACAATTAATTTGTGTTAGTGATACCACATGATTTGTGTGTCTTCATCCGGACTTGGCCTATTGTGATTTATCAAACCACCATTTACAACAGGTGTGTCATCCAGAAAACCACATTATTCGTATTAAGGCCCTTATTACCCATTCTATATACTTAGATTTTTATTCATACCATTCATTTAGACATTGTCAGTATTTTACCCCCTTTG